GGGAATGGACTCGTCTCATCGCCGTCGTCGCTTAACCTCTCCACCTAGATATTGCATTACGAAGGATAATAGTTGACTATTTAGTCAGCACCAACAGTGTTAGACGGCTAGTGCAATGTGCAGGCTAGGCTGAGCTACTGTGGAGAGTGTGTGGACGAGACCGTGAAAGTTGTTAATAAAGAAAGTGCCTCCTAGAAACTCTGTCTCTGAATCGTTGACACTACACAAACATGCTCTGATAATATATGCATTGTTTTTTAAACTGATTGGCCTACACCAAAGGCAGCTTTCTTTAGGGCCTAGTCTCACCAGTGTCAGACCAGAGAACGCCAAAAGGCGAACAGCACAAAGACAAAGCACTATCAGAGCATTTATAGCTCGGGGTGAGCAGCTACAAAATGGGACCTTTTTCTAATATCAAAGTATAAAAAAATAAGAATAGGTTTTACCCTTTCTGGCAATAAAACAGCTGTTAAGATGTTCAAACACCAAATAGAAATATTTTGCAAGGAATCATGTCTCCATTAACCACACGTACTTGTGGTGAACATGCAAACAAACTGGTTGACTTACACCAGAGACAGCCTTCTTTAGAGCCTAGTCTCACCAGTGTATTGGTGTATTTATAAGGCTCAGCACCAACACTAGGCCCTGCGTATTGCTTAACTCTTGAAGATTCCTCTATCCCCCGAATATCCCCTTCCCTTTTATCCATTTTGAGCCCCTTCTCTCGAAACTTCTCTCACTGTGCTCCTTTCAGCCAATCCCCGTCCTCTCTCAACGGTTCTCAACCGTCGCCTCAACGCTCAACCTTCGCTTCTCGCCTTTTTCAGTTTGAACCTCTCCTCCAATCCCTTCAAACCTTGCCTCCCAACCGATCACTCTGGAGGCCTCTTGCACCAATAGGATGCCTTAGTCTACTTCCTGATAGTCTGTTTGGCTGCAAGTTTGCTTCGGGTGAGTGGTCTAGAATTACGGTCATTACACTATTATCTGCAAGTTCCTGATCCTAGTATCCATGTTTATACATGGTTAACTTACCTGGATTTGTTTCTGTTGTTGACCTGAGTACAGAACATTGAACAATATACGCAATTGTAGAATTTGCATAAGTCCAGTTAAATATAAGGTGTGTTATAACTCCAAATCCATAGAAAATAACTTAGTGGTCAAGACCACTATCAAGTTGATTGCCAAAGTCAAAAAATTTAATTAATCACATTTGCGTTCATAACGTTAATCATTTAAAAAACGAAATATAATGAAAATTGATAACATACATATCCTTCAGCCACAGACCAGCTGAAGCACACGTAGAAGCACACGCAGCAATTACATCATGACGGTAATATTGCATGGGGGTTGTCTTCCAGGCAGTGATGTAATGAGAGTAATGACTATTTCCTAGCAACCATTGTGCCAAGAGCATTGACATTCATATTTCCTTATAAATATTTACTTTTACGTCCTTTTGAATTGTACTACAATTGCAGCCTGCTGGACCTAATAACAAATTGTACAAGTATATACATTTGTCGTGAAACCTGCCACCACGCGACACAGGCAATTAGTAAGGTTTGTCACGTAAATATAACATGCCAATTCGTTACTCGTACAGCACACCGGTGTGTTGGAGAGCAAAGCCCATTTACAATCTGAGTACGTTTCGCAAGTAATTACAACTAGCTTCATCAGGCGACAGCCAGATTTGTGGAGAAATCCTGTTTCGTTCCTTAAATAGAGGGGTAGATGTGATGACAACATTTGTGTGCTCTTGCTCGAAGTGGGGAGGGGATTAATGAATGCATATAACTAACAATGGGTATCCATTGCCGTTTGGGTGATTTATATGGTAATCAACGTACAATATGCATGCGCATTATGCAACATCGGAGCTGAATTCCTCAGTACGGAGTCAGGCCAAATCTCCATTCGGGGTGTGCCCCGTACTCTTCTTTGCACGTGGGCGTCGGGGTTCAATACAAATTGCTTTTTTAGGTTCCCATATACTGAAGAGTGCGCAATTATACGTGTGATGAATCACAGGTGAGCTCACACCGGCTACAAATACATGAAACGTATGTGTGTTGAACTTCTTTGCACCGTACGTAGTCAACCGTGCTAATCGGGGATGCGAAAAGTAACTTAACAAACGAGGAACCACAATGCTTGCAGGTGCCTGTTCTCAGAGTCCACAATTAATTAGCGCTGCCACTCCCCCCCCCATCCAATACAGTGCCACCATGGAGGCCCCCTGCCCCACACGGCGAATCACGCACACAGCACAGCTGTTAAACAAATAACTTCGGGCCGCGGTACGCCCTCTGCCGCCACGGAACGCATTTGATCGATTGGTCTCCGCTCGTCACTCAAAGATTTGCTCGTTTTGTTAAGAAATTGATTGGTCAAAATTCAACTTGCATATTATTATTATTGCGAATTCTCGTTGAAAGGACGCTCGTTTAGCAAGACACACCTGTAAGCGCAGGGCTTGTGATGTGACACAGTGAGTGTTTGGGCGGCCACCATTAGTGTGGGGAGAAAGGGAGTTGAGTTATATTAATACAGTACAGGGATGTCCTGCCGAGATATTAGATTTCAGACGATCTGAAAAGATTGTTGGAAGTGGCATCATTGATATACATACAGTACATGCCACGTTGCTTATTTTCCTGCCCAAACAATATATCTGATCTGAAAAAACCCAAAAATATCTGAATTGTTACTGAGAAATGTGATAACCGAAATGTTAAGATCTATAACTCATGCCAAGCACATTTGCAGAGCATGCTAGTTGGCTTATACAAGTACAATGAAATATGAAAATTACAATATTGACAAGGAGTGGGACAGACACAACACTTGAGTTTATTTTACTTTATTATAACCACTTCTAAGTTACTTATTCTACAACTCTTCAGTTTGTTCCTATTTCGATAATGATCATATGTTTTAGCATGTTTTAAAACGATTTTGCCGAGACTTGTTATTTTCTTCCTTTAAAAGAGAAACTGGACGAACCACCACTCCTAAACCTCCAGGACATCCTCCTCTAAACAATCTGCACATCAGCTCCTCTGAAACCATTCCAACCCTTAATTCATATAAATCCTCTTTACAAAAGGGATTTTCACTGGAGAGGTGACTGGGTGGCTAAGAGCGCTGAACTGGCACCGCTGAGATCCTGGGTTTAAAGCCAAGCAGCTTCCTGTGATTAAATTGGGAACTCAGGTGTAGTGACTTGATGGTCTCAGCCCAGTCACCAATGACTGCACGAAACACCAAATCCCATTAAATTTAGTTCTGCACTTAATTTTTCTAAATTCCAGCTTTCAGAATGATAATATAGGTTTGACTGTCATGTGACAAACCTCATTCAGAAAAAAACTCAACACATTCGTTAATAAACCTGCATTATAAATATATAATAGGCGACATTTTGGGAACTGGCCCTGCTTCATAGTAGATAGAGGCTAGAGAGATAGCGTTAATACGGGTTGGAGCAGGTTTGACCAAACGCCGTCCTCGTGACCCACCCTCTTTGCATCTTTCCGCGTTTACCAATTTACTCCCATTCAAATACAAATTAACTTGTCCAACGCTGCCCGCGTCAGATGATGATTAAATACGTCCCACGTGACGTGCTAAGCAATTGACGCTGTCTGCGTTAATGTAGACGACTCAAATTAAGATTGAGATATCAGTATGCCTGTGTGTACACATGTTTCAGGTGACGCAGACAGCGTTAATTGCTTAGCGCATCACCGGGGACATGTTTAACAATCACTGAGCGTGCAGCATGGAATGCGTTAACATGTATTTAAATGATTGGAGTTTGGGAACCACTGGGTTGGGGTGCACTTATCATCACGTTTTGGGCCTTTCGGCCTGTGCTAAGAAACTGTAAAAACTGTCGAAAAGGTGTTGCTTCATGGGGTAAACATAGATCAGATATTGAAATATACGAAGGCATCTATCAAGTGAAAGTCAAATGACAATAATTTATCTGTGGCCCTGAAAGGAAACTAAATGAGATGATGCTATCATGAGTCTCTGTGGAGGTTTGGACTGTGTACCAAATGCAGCCATTGCAGCTGCATGAGCCACAGTCCTGAACCTCATCCATTCTCCAGGGACACATAGACAACAAATACAAAGACCCCCCCCCCCGTATAGCCTTAACAAACTTTTGGGGCAAGTGCTGTTAACGAGTATCTGTGAAGGCCGGCATGGCACACTAAGGGGTGGGTGGCCAACAACGCCCGGCCGCCTTTATCTCCTAGCGGCGATGTTTCCACACTTGCATCAGGTACTCATTTGAGGGTGAGTCGACCTAGGGGAGGCCTAGGACCGGTTCAGATAATCGTTACTGGTGTTGGTCTTGAGCTGCAATCGAACTGAGGTCGCCAGGTTCGTAGCGCAGCTCGCTAACCTTTGCACTACCACAGACATACACACAGGCGTCAACATAAATCAAATCGACAGACACATGGACATCGAAATTAACGCAGTTGACAAAGAAATTCAAATAAAAATACGAAAGACGTACGAAAAGATGCCACCCTAACAATTACCAATTAAACATATACACACAAAAACACACATACACACATCTTCCCGTTCTTAGCTAATTGGCCAAGCCAGGTGCTCCGGACGAGTATTTAAACCAGAGCCTCGCGCATCTGCGGTATCTTATTGAGTCAAGACAGACGTCGGGTCCACGTAGTGATCGAGCGGAGAGCGACATGCAATTTTCGAAATTCCTAATGTTCATGCCAGCACCAAGTAGCATATCACTGGTGAAAGAGGTGCGTGTGTACACACATGATCATCTTCATCATCAGCCATGAACAGTCCACTTAACAATGAGGGGCCCACATGTTTTGTTTCTATATGCCGGGAAGATCAAGCAAGGTCAAAATTAGACTGAAAAAAAGCATGATGCCAATCAGTCAATGGCCTTCCTTCAGAGCAGAAAGGGCACAGAGAATGAGACTGGCTTAGAATTGGATAATGATTTTTAATATTTTTAGGATAATTTTTACCATTACAGAACAGAATGGGTATTTGGGTGATTCGTTCCAGTCTACACTCTGGTGGAATGTTCTGTGTAACATGATTTTTTAAAATCAACTTCTTCACAATGATTACAATGGTTACGACAGTTAGAACAACGTAACTATTAATTTTGGTTTATATTTATTTTATTATCATCTTTTACAGTGCGATAAACAATCTTATAATGTTAATGTCATTTTTAATTGTTAGAAAATGTAAAAATGAATGCAATTGTAATGCTGATGAGAATGTAACACGATGTCAAAAATCCACAACACAGCCTAATGTAAATAGTTGAAATATTAAAATAATACCATTAGGATATATAATTGTATAATTTGTTTATCTAATTTTTAAGAGAAACAATATACTTTTCAATGTAAAATTGAAATTAGTACCATTGTGTAACAACTTTTTAGTCACTTCAAATTATATAATCTACTTATAACATCAAGATAACAAGTTTATTAAACAAATTCATAAATTCCACATATTGAGTACCATTTTAGTTAAACCTGTAAGCAATGAGGCTCATATACAGCAGTTGAATAGAGTTAATAATTAAACCCCAAGAGGAAGCTTGCATCCAAAAAGTCTCTTCATCAAAGAAGTTCAATGCATTTAAATCTTGAAACAGGATCAATTTGAAACATTTAGTGGCTTGCAAGCTGTCATTTTTAATAGGCGAAAACGATAGGATCACAGCATCCGCATGTTAATCTTCGTTGGAGTCTTTGGTTGGCTGACAGTTGCAGCACTCGAGTGTCTGGGTGCAACATCAATGTAGATTGCTGTGTGCCGGTAGCGACCCTTGCCCTTGCTCCAGATACAGAGCAGGAAAAGGCAAAGCAGCACCACACCCAGAAAGGAGCAGCAGCCCATCACTATAGCCATCACCACAATTTTAACATCGAATACCAACTTTTGGTAGGTGAACAATGTGCCGTTGCGAGAGTAGCTGGAATAGTTCAATTGCTGTGGGTCGCTACCATTGGAAAGTGGGCCGGCATCGTGTTCAATCTTGCGCACAAAAAGTGTGACAGTGTAGCTATCAGTGCCACCCGCATTTGTAGCTACACACGTGTAGGTGCCTCCATCCTGTGTCTGTGCATAGCGCACCTCGATAGAACCATCGGCTGTGACGAGCAAGCGACCCACACTTCTGCTCAGCAAAACTTTGCGCTGTGGAGAAACCCAGTGGATGCGTGGCGTAGGGTCACCCTCTGCCTGACATGGGAAGCGTACTGAGTGCCCTTCCATGACAATGTAATGCTCGGGCTCCTTCTCACGAATGCGCGCTCGCTGGCATGTGAAATGATTTGGCAGCAAAATTTCCGGAAAATCCTGCCGAGAAAAGAGAAATGTATATGAACAAAATCCATGGTTAGGTTATATACAAATACGGTACATTGTAAATCAATGATCTTCCATCTACACTGAATGAAATTCACTGATTTATGCATGAAGCAATACAAAATAAATTACCAGATGTTTTGAATATATAATATTGTTTTTTTTACTCAATTAGCATGGTTGCATATGTACGGCGCAAACGAAGTTCACCATACATTTTAAATATATTGTAACTCATGTTTGAAATACTGCTGTTATAAAACATTCTGGTATTTCTTAACACCATAAGCAGTGTGAATCACAAGCAGCGCTGCGATGTGCCAACGATTGTTATCTGACCTTGGAATGATTCACCCCCCTCACCACAAAACCCAGGGATTATTGCAATTCAAAACAAATAATTATTCGTACATCAAAGTAAATTTTAGTGATGTTCGTGGCTGCAGGTATAAAGTGACACCTATTACATACTGCTCTATGTCAACCCATTGCTAGATGAAGGCCTCCTCATGCCATGTTGGGTTGTGGTCATTATGAGTTGGAGAAGATACATGTACAACATATGTGATTTAAAAAGTATTTTATACAAGTGATTTCGTGCATTACTGTGACCTTAAGATTCAACATTAATTTATGGAACAATGCACTATTCCACTACTGACAGTATACATTGTGATTACTCCTGTCATCTAAGGCCGAATGTCCAATATTCCACATAAATCGATCCTCGGAAAATTATATGAGCTATGAGTGAATTCTTCCTATTGTCCGTGTTATTCTATAGATAATAGGAGTCACTCAAGAGTCGTTAAAAATGTATACCCTCGGTTAACGGTTTTTTTTCGGTTAACATTTTGCCTCCCCCATGGTTTCGACTAACGTGAATTTTTATTTATTAATGTTGTGTTTACGTTATGCATGCTGGCACCAATTTCGGCTAATCCGAACGCCCATAAGTGGGCTGAGCATGCCCAAAGCCATGCAGCGACGCCCTTTTATGAGCGTTTAGATTTCGACTGGCTATGTTTACATTGTTTTCTGTTTTGGCAGTGGAAACAGCTCTCTTACAGACTCCGTGATTTTTACTTATTTTTCAACTTATAAGTGAATTCGATTAACAGTTATTTTAGTTCACAGTTTTCATGGAACGGTTTAAAAACGTTAACCGAGGGACGACTGTATTCATATTGTATCTCTCCATGACGCACCCGGAATTTTATTTCAGAAGCACAAAATTCCTCCTTTGCATGAACTAGAGGAGTCATCTAAAAGTGTTGGCAAATTCGCCATATTATCTGCATTTATCTACAGATAATTACAAATAATTTTGACTTAAAACTTTCGTGACTGCAGGAATTCATATTCTATGGTTCTTTCAGTAAAGTCATGTAGATAGAAAAAAAGAATAACAATAAAAATAAAATGAATAAAAATATCACGACGTTTTGATCACGACACAAGCGGTCATTAGGCAAAGGTGATGACGACCGCTTGTGTTGCGATTGAAACGTCGTGATATTTTGATTCACTTTATTTTCATTATTATTTTTTCTTCTATCTACGTGACTTTACCGAAAGAACCATAGAATATGCACAAATAATGTATGTGGATTAAGACGGATAATCAGACATACCAATAACGCCGTCTACATCAATCTTGAATAGGCGGGAGTTTCACGGGAGTGAATTATCTCCATATATTTAAAAGGCAAAGCTGTGATTGTCCGTTTAAAATGTTTAGCGTACTTCCCGACATGAAAAAAAAACTTTAAATTTGCCATGTGGGATACTTTCCAGACTGTACACCATGCAAAAATGAGCTGTGACGTCAAATCTGTCATGTGACCCGCGCATGTGGAAGCGTAACGCATTGTAGTGTAGTGGTTAGCGCGCTGCGCTACGAACCCGGCGACCCGAGTTCGAGTCTCGCTCACGGCCACCACCGGTGACGATTATTTCAACCCTAGGTCGACCCTAGGTCGACTCAGCCTCAAACTATTAACTTGTGTGGTGTGTGAACATCGCCACTGGGGAGACAAAGGCGGTCGGGCATGGTGAATCCAAGTCCCGGGTGAAGCCGGGTAGTCAAGCTAGTATTGTATAAATCGCATACTACTGTATTTATTCAGTTGTATGCTCAGCACTCAAGGCAGCCGACACTCCCCATCTCCATGTTCAATTAATAACATGGAAATGTAAGAGAAAAAAACATACCACGATAATGTTTCATACAATGTCTCTGCATCCGAGCAAAGTCAGATTGACTCACAGTGTAGATGTTTCCTGCATTGTGTTGACATCAACATTTTTCTAAAACATAAATTGAGACGAAAACAAAACCTTGAGCAACAATAATGGATAAACACATATTAATAATGTAAAGTATATACATTTTTAAAAATATATGTAGAAATTTGAGAGCACAGAACTATATCATGGGAGAACGATAAATAATAGCTGTTTTTTTATCTGTTTGTGGCATGAACTAGCAACCAACAGCAGTTTTTTTCGTCACTTTCATGTTAATAACAGGTTATCAGATTCCCATCTCACCAATCAGGCTGTGCCATTACTGGCACCCACACCTACGATTTCCCGCACCTCTGATTAACACGGTTGGCTACGAACAGTGCGAAAGAAGTTAAACATACATACATACTAGCAAGGCTGGTAAAGTTAGAGTGGCCAGGGTGATATGTACAGTGAGGGAAAAAAGTATTGATCCCCTGCTGATTTTGTACGTTTTCCCACTGACGAAGAAATTATCAGTCTATAATTGTAATGGTAGGTTTATTTGAACAGTGAGACAGAATAACAACAACAGAATAAAGAAAAACGCATGTCAAAAATGTTATAAATTGATTTGCATTTTAATGAGGGAAAACAGGTCCCTGCAGGGTGGGCTGGTAGGACAAGTCTCTGCGCTGTCTATTGCTGATTTTACACCCAATAGCACGAGATTTCACTTCGTTAAAGTATTGAATGGGGACGGACGGACGGACACATTATCTATTGCAGGCTGGTATACTCAGTTTACAACTTCGTTCCTACCAGTATAAGTATTTGACCCATCTGCAAAACATGACTTAGTACTTGGTGGCAAAACCCTTGTTGGCAATCACAGAGGTCAGACGTTTCTTGTAGTTGGCCACCAGGTTTGCACACATCTCAGGAGGGATTTTGTCCCACTCCTCTTTGCAGATCTCCAAGTCATTAAGGTTTCGAGGCTGACGTTTGGCATCTCGAACCTTCAGCTCCCTCCACAGATTTTCTATGGGATTAAGTCTGGGGACTGTCTAGGCCACTCCAGGACCTTAATGTGCTTCTTCTTGAGCCACTCCTTTGTTGCCTTGGCCGTGTGTTTTGGGTCATTGTCGTGCTGGAATACCCATCCACGACCCATTTTCAATGCCCTGGCTGAGGGAAGGAGGTTCTCACCCAAGATTTGACGGTACATGGCCCCGTCCATCGTCCCTTTGATGCAGTGAAGTTGTCCTGTCCCCTTAGCAGAAAAACACCCCCAAAGCATAATGTTTCCACCTCCATGTTTGACGGTGGGGATGATGTTCTTGGGGTCATAGACAGCATTCCTCCTCCTCCAAACACGGCGAGTTGAGTTGATGCCAAAGAGCTCCATTTTGGTCTCATATGACCACAACACTTTCACCCAGTTGTCCTCTGAATCATTCAGATGTTCATTGGCAAACTTCAGACGGGCATGTATATGTGCTTTCTTGAGCAGGGGGACCTTGCGGGCACTGCAAGATTTCAGTCCTTCACGGCGTAGTGTGTTACCAATTGTTTTATTGGTGACTATGGTCCCAGCTGCCTTGAGATCATTGACAAGATCCTCCCGTGTAGTTCTGGGCTGATTCCCCACCGTTGTCATGATCTTTGCAACTCCACGAGGTGATATCTTGCATGGAGCTCTAGGCCAAGGGAGATTGACAGTTCTTTTGTGTTTCTTCCATTTGCGAATAATCGCACCAACTGTTGTCACCTTCTCACCAAGCTGCTTGGCAATGGTCTTGTAGCCCATTCCTGCCTTGTGTAGGCCTACAATCTTGTCCCTGACATCCTTGGAGAGCTCTTTGGTCTTGGCCATGGTGAAGAGTTTGGAATCTGATTGATTGATTCCTTTTGTGGACAGGTGTCTTTTATACAGGTAACAAGCTGAGATTAGGAGCACTCCCTTTAAGAGTGTGCTCTAATCTCAGCTCGTTACCTGTATAAAAGACACCTGGGAGCCAGAAACCTTTCTGATTGAGAGGCGGTCAAATACTTATTTCCCTCATTAAAATGCAAATCAATTTATAACATTTTTGACATGCGTTTTTCTGGATTTTGTTGTTGTTATTCTGTCTCTCACTGTTCAAATAAACCTACCATTAAAATTATAGACTGCTCATTTCTTTGTCAGTGGGCAAACATACAAAATCAGCAGGGGATCAAATACTTTTTTCCCTAACTGTAGGTGTGCCGAGAGGAATTTGCATGTTCAACATATTTCAATTTGTGCTAGCACTCAATGTGGGTGTTTGTTAATTACCAGAAGTTTTGACCTGCTGGGAATTTACACCAGAGGATCACAGCAGCATACAGGTAAGTGGCACAAGCGCCACAAGCAACAAATGTGGGCCTCAGGGACACAGCCAACCTCCTAGCTACTCCCACCCACCCTGCTCCCTCTCTGCCCCCTCCTCACAGTGAGCTCCCGCTGTGTTACCACCCGTTATGACTATTGTGAAGGTGGGCCTAGTTTGTTTTTAATAGTGTGGTACCTGGGTGTGGGTTCCCTTCTGCAAGCTCGATGTTGCAGAGCAATGTATTGCACTTAGAAGTGCATAGATGCAGATATGAACCTTGCAGCCATGGCCAATCACGTGTGGGGTGAGCTCAGACATCTTACTGCATAACACAAGTATGAGGTCCACCCCTCACAGATGATTGGCTGCCAAGAAATACTCAACAGGGGCACCAGCGTTATCCTC